TCTGTGTTGAATTAAAAACCTCTACTGCAAAGAAGAGCATGATGTGGGGAAAGAATAAATTTAGTTCTTTCCTTAGTAATGCACATATATTTCCATACATTTCACATCCTAAGGGAGCCTGTGAACGCATTCAATAAATACAAAACTGTAATTCCAGGAAAAGAGAATTTTTATATTATAAATTTCAGATAGTACTTTGTTCTTAAAAGATCTGAAATTACAAACATCATTACGTTTTCTATTCTTTTACAAAATACAGGCTAGAGAAAAAAAATGGAAAGGCATTGAATTTTAGGGTCATCAGTATTTCTGAGGGTATTAGTTGACTTGGAACAAAAAATATATATTCTACAACGGCACTTGTAAATTAAGAAAATTGTGTCCAGCCCAACTAGTTCTACCTTATGTATGCTGAAATCAAAATCATATATGTAAGCATTTATATCAAACTATTGCCTATCTTCACCTTATATATTAAGGTCAGTGAAAAGAGCAGTTTATGGATAAAGGGCAATAATAAAGGGGTAGCCTTTAAACATGATTAGTTGGTGTCTATTAAAGATGTGTTAAAATGAAATATATACTGCAGGTGAAGGAAATTACTAACTCCTTTTAGGATGATGGACTTACTATATGGGTATTTCACTATCCCTTTAAAATATTTGTGAATTTGACTGCATTCTGAGGAGACAGAGCAATGTGGTAGATTTATGAGGGTCTGACGGAAACAGGGCTAGGAAAGATTATGGCATACTTGTTTAGAAAAACTGAGAACTGAAGGGTCCTGATTTACACTGACATATATCTAGATGAAACTATAGTTTGCAAATTGCCTAGAGGAGTTATCTTTTATTAAGTGTTTGATGGGTACAGAAATGTACCTATCTATTCTATAACAGTCTAGGAATACCAACGCAATATTTGCAAATACAATTTCAATATTTTTAGATTTTCTTAAATATTTTCATTTTTATGGTCACCTCACCCAACCCTGTGCTGAGCTCCTGGGACTACCTAACAACCCATATGGTTAGAGTTTTGTTGCATTATTTTGAATTCTTGAGATAGCATTGTGCTGAAATGTTCCCTGCACTGCAGGAGTAGGAGAGATCAAACCACAGCTTAGGCACTTTTTACCTTTTTTAACAGCTTACCAACATATGTGACACTCTCTGCATCTTAACAGTTAGAAAAAGGTGTTAAAAACCCCAACGTTCACAATTAATGCACTTCCAAAGGCTTTCAAGTTCGTGACTACACTGTGATGCCATTACATATGTTTAGTTTGAAATTAGGCAAGGAGCAACAGACAAAGCATGCAGTTTTACCAAGCACTGTAAGATTTCTTGCAAAGAAAGCCTGAAAGACGGGTAAGTTTTCTACTCAGATCAACTTTCCTTGTTTTATTCTGACTGATACAAGGTAGATGACTTGTCTAGGAGGAGGAGGTGGGGGGCAGGTTGGCTTTGCAGGATAATTTTTGGTACATTAACTCCTCTTCCTTGAGGAGATGCTACTTTTTAATCTTATTTTAAATTATTATTATCATAGGGAAAATCTGTATTAGTCACTACAGTCCTAGTCATATTTTATTAATGCAATTAAAATTGGTGTTTACTGATGCTTTAGCAACAAAATGATGAATTTAATATCAATTTAACGACAGATGATGATATGCATCCAAGTTTTGTCAGCATTTTTTCAAGCCAGGTGAATGCATCCTACAAATATTAGGCAATATTTTGCATAACAATCCACCTATTAAATGGGAAGTTTTGTCAAACATGTATGTGCAGTTGGTCACCAATTATATATATACATTATTTTCCACAAAAATATGGAAACAGGATTAGAATATTTTAAAGAGTTCACAGGCTTCTAATAGTGACATAGTACACATTATCTGTTAGTGTAAGCTTTTGATCAGCAACAGAGAAAATAAAGTTTATGACCAGACAACTATTTATACTTTCATTATGAATATATGTTCTGTGCATTAATAGCTTTAACAAAGTTTTTCTAGTGTTGTACCATTGTATGAAGAGCTGTATATTTGTGATAAGCCACATGCCCTGACCCATTTTCATCAGTAACTTGCATGATTTCCTTAAATCATTAACTTATCAGATCTGGGTAGGGATGTCTGGATCTTTCTGGATGTTTGTATAGTGCCTAGCATAATATAATGTGTACTGGAATATAAGGAAATAATTGGCACTTGTTAGTTACAAGCAGCACTTGTTAGCATAGGCTTTCTAGCATGCCAACAAGCAATTAACCTCAGCATCAGTCAATCACCTTTTCCTAGTTAACTCGCATTACACTTTGAGGACAGCTGCCATCTTCTCGTGGAAAAATACATGCAACTGTGCCCCTGACTGTCATGCGAGTTTCAGACCAGTGTAACTTTATTCTATCCAAAAGAATTAGAGCTTTCTAAACAGTAGGGTAATCAAGAAAATTATTTTTCTTCCATGACTGTAAATTAGGAGTAAGTGCACCTAATTCATCGGTGCTGCATCTGTTTAAAACTGTGGCACCGAAATTGGAATCAATCTTTTCTTTCTGTACCTAAGAGGTGAAAGTGTAGTACTGTACATAAGTCAATCAATGCAATGATGTTGCTTAGCAATGTAAATGCAAAAGAGTAGATTGCTGATGCCAAGAAATTTGCACCCACGTATTGCACCTGTCAGTAAATGGGAGTTTGCATTGCAACTGCACTGCAGTGTGGAATTAATGCCCTAATTAGAGACTTCTTCATCTCTATTAGGTATGCCTGACAAGACAATATGGTGAGGTTTTCCTATCAGCTCATCATTGCTATGGATGGCAGGAGTAACTGGTTTTGTTTGTTTTTACTATTTTTGCTTGGGGGTTTTTTTTTTTTTTGGTTGTTTTTTTTTTTTTTTTTTAAGACATAGCAAACACTTCAAATCAATTTTTGGTAGGAGTAGATGACCAGAAGAGAGTTTCTGTGTGCTATTTGTGTAGAAGAGAGAGGTTGATGGTGGGTTAATAAAACTATTTTTTCCCATTTCCCTACACGTAAGTGTGATTTTCTTGGAAGAAAGGTATGGAAGAGCTGAACTGTGATTTAAAGCACATCATTTTATTTCAATAGCAGGAAGCAACTTCCATAAATGACAACTTTTTTTCTTTTGATAACTCCAGTAAAATACAGAGATGACACCTGTATGAAGCATTATTTTTAGAAAGAGGGACTGGGACACTTCTTCTCCCTTGACTATCAAAATGACATATAAATATCATTTCTTTTACTTTTTCTGTGAGTTTTGTGACTTGTGCCTTGGTGTGTGACTGCGATGTGCTTTTTTTGTTGACAGATGTGAATAAGGTATAGAGAGTACTAAATAAAAGCTGCCTGGTCCAAATAGGCAGCAATATGCAGCACAACTTAAGGGAAAACAAACAAAAAATCCAAACCAAACCAAAAACCCCAACCAAGAACAAAAACTCCCCACAAAAGAAAACCAAACCCAACCAACCAACAAAGCACAAAAATAAAAAAAAAAAAAAAAGAAAAGAAGAAGAAAAGAGATTCGCTGTAGACTTATTTCATCCTGGTCAGTACATTAGGGAATAAACTGAAAAATATGGAGTATTTTTCCAGTGAGTGATGAAAACAAAAGAAGGAGTGGGTTGAGGCCTGCAAAGTATTTTAATTTAAGAGTTTTACATATTCTATTCTGAATAAATCTTTCAATTATGAATTGCTGTCTATCCAGCTTAGGTACGAAAACCGTAGAATAGGAGTTTCTTTTTTGTTTTACAGAAGTTTAGCTTTTATTGCTTAACATTTTCCATGTTTTGCTGACGGAAATTCTTTGGGGAATGTTTAAAGAATGGACTTTTTAGTGGATTTCTTTGGGGTATTCTTTTCAAATAGTCACTCTTGAAATCATCCTGAGGCATCTTTGGATCTTAAGTCACTTTATACTGTATTAAGTCACCGTCAAAAGTTCCTACTAGTAGCTGGGAATTACCTTAGTGATATTAGCCACTTTTCAAATATAAAATCATCTATTGGTGAAAAAGTTCTATGATAGCAAAATATAACTAGGTTTAACTTGGTTGTTGATAATACGTTTTCTTCTAACTGTATCTTTGTTATCTCTAAATACAATTTTCATCTTGCCCTAATTTTTTAAATGTTACATAAACCTCATGGTGCAACTGTGGTAGAATAGGAAGCTATGGGAAGCTATTTTTCATGTGTAACTATTATGTGCCTTAGGAGAGCAAAATGTTTTTGACTATATTTCTGCTTAAACTATTAAGGACACTACTGGAAAAGTTCTTAAAAGGAAACTGGATTATTTGGATTAAAATATTTTTTAGTGGTCTGATAATTATGTAAGGACATGAAGAAATGTGAAGGGAAGTAGAACCATGTAAAGCAGAAGGGAGTGTACTCACTGGTAAAAATGAGGTGAGAAAATGTAATGTTTTGGTATAAAACATGTTTCCTGGTAGTACTTTTGCTGAAATCAGCATTATGAAGCAGACCTATGATGATAATTAGTTATGTAAACTCATAGTGCAAACTTGCAGTGTGTTGCAAGCCTGGTAAATTTTTTAACTTTGTTTTTTTTAGACTAACTGGTGATTTTACTCATATTTAAAATGATAGATACAGGGAGAATAGGACAATTCTTTCTTTGTTTTGACTCAATAACTGCTATTGCTTTTTTTGCCTGGTGAGTTAGAGAATCATTTTGGCCATTTAACTTGTATCTGCAGTATGTTCATGTAGTGCAACATAGTTTTGCCTCTTGGTTATTAAGACCAGCCATAAAAATCCATTTTAAATGGTGACTTAAGAAATGTATCCTTGTCAATAAACATGAATTTGTAGCCTTGGTCATCTCTGATGACTAAAATATATGGTCGCAAAACACGAAATCGTATTAATTATTCAGTATAAGTGCTCTATTCTGACACTTTTTCGTACTTACACACACATTTTCTTTTCCTAGGTATCTTTTTAGTGCTGAAATGGACACGCTAATTGTGAACCACGTGGTCAGGAGCTCCTTCTAAAATATGCAGCAGCACATTTACTGGAGTTTAACAAGCTGTGTGCTTTAAGGCCCATGCTGCCTGCAATCATGTGAGCAAACCTTGCAAGTCCCAGTGCCAGCTCGAGATGCAGCAGAGCCCAGAAGGGCAGCCCTGGAACAGCCCCCACCACTGGCAAGGCACAGGGACGAGACGCTGACCTGCGACGGGAGCAGAGGCCTCGCTACCAGCATCGCTCACGGTTTCGCTTCTGGCAACGTACATTTCCATTTTTCTCAAAGCTTCCACGTCTGTGTCATCAGACAAAGCCCCACGAGTGGTGGCAGACTGTAGCTTTCATTTTCAAGTTTGAAGAGAAAAAATTATTTACATGTCTAAGTCCCAGAACTGGCTGTCCAGAGGTCACTCTTTATTGGCCACTCTTATGAACCATTAGGGCTTCCCAAAGCTCTAAAAGAAATGGGACACAGTCTGGGGCAGAAAAATCTCATTGTTTAAAATTTCCTTAAATTCTATTTCATTGTATTATTATTATTTTATTCATATTATTTTTGTCCTACCAGAGGAAGATGAAAGATGGGATGTTTCTATCATTGCTTGCATGAATGACTACTTAAATTGACTGTCAGAGCTTGCAGGACAAATCTTTGACCCTTCTTAAGTTTGTTTTAAACTGAAGGAAATTATCTTTTATTGATTAGAACTTTAGGCTATTTTAAAAGGAAAATTATTGATTCATGCATGAATTTTATTGTTTAATCAGCCTTCTATCTCAGTATTTATATATATAGTTTTGGTTACAAATTTAGGAAAACGTTTAACTATGTGTTTTAATGCTGGACTGCCTTTTTTTTCCCCTTTCCTGTTTAAGACATGTTTTTCTGAATCAAATCCTTGAATTTAGTGACAATTAGTACAATTTCCAGACACATCAGCAAGAGTTTCTGTACTGTGTGGGAATGTAGATGTTAAGGGGAAGCACAAGTAATGACTTTTTTTCCATTCACAAAGGAAGCACTAAGACATCAAGGTTATTCAACAGAAATTAATAAATGCAGCCTGGGAAGTTATTATTTTTCCAAACTGTGAGAAGATCTCTGAAATAATAAAGATAAAATGCAACAAAAACCTGGAGAAATTGTCTAATTTTCTTAAAAAAATAATAGGAAACAAAAAAAAAGGCATTTCACAGTGAAGAAAATCTTCAGGCAGGGGAAAAAAAGATTTTTTTGGCAGAGTGTTAGGGTAGCTTGAAAGAAAAATCCAGGGACTGTTCTTTGCTGCTACTTCAGAAGCGTGTTGGGCATTTAATCTTAGTTGCCCTGTCTGCAAATAGAAGATGATAATGCTCTTTTTGCAGTGTTGTACAGTCTCTAGAAGTTTCACAATGAAAGAGGGAAGCATTTCATAGGGTATTTAAAATTGCCTGTTGGGCCTCATGTTTTTTAAATAAAAGTTTAGACTACACATCCTGGAGGAGATGGGTCTCTAGGGCAGTGCAGGCAATGTTTAAGTGGGGTATTTTTTTGTTTCTTTTCATTTTTTTTTCTTTTGTTGTTTTATTTTTTAAACTGTTTAATGGACTGATTTTTGGTATCCTCCCTGGAACATGCAGGTCTCTGGAGACTGAGAGAAATGAGGTTTGCTGGGAATAAAAGAGGCTTCTTTAGGAGATGCCATCATCATCAGAATTCTGTCATCATCACAAAAACTTGAAATTAGTATGGCCCATATCTTAGTATTTCAGCTACTAAACTTTCAGCTACATTTTGTCTGGCTAACATCTTAAATGCCATGGCTTTCCCATTAGATAAGCAGGCTGATTTCATTACTATTTCTTGACAGAACAAGATTAAAAAAAAAAAAGACTTGTGAATCTCCTGTAGAGAATTTTGGTGACAGAAACAGAACTGCTGTTATATGGCCGTACATATTTTATGATACAGAAAAGGAAATCAACAGGAAATTAGTAAAATTTCTACAGGAATCTTTAGAAAATCTATGTAAATATAAAATACAACAAGCAAATGGCATCTCCACAGTTTATTCCGGCAGGACTAATCACATTTATTCTGACAATAGGCAAGGAGTGTGCCCAGGGTGGTGTCTCCTGATGCCTGCCCCATGTTGCCAGCCTTTGGTTCTGCTCTGAGGGTGGCTGTTGTCACCACAGAGCTGTGCAATGGCACTGTGCAGATTTGTCCTCTGGCATACCCCATACCTTGACCCTGAGTGTAGCTCCGTGCTCTTGCAGTCAGTCTTGAAACGTGCTCTGGCCTGGAGCAAGGGCCCAAGTTCATAGGGCTAGGGACATAAGAATCCCCACAATTTGACTCCTGTCTGAAACTTTCAGCATTTATGGTAGGAAAGGTAATTAACAAAGCAGATACAGAATTAAGGTGTTTTATCATAATATCAAAAGGAAGAGTGCAACATTTTTCTCTTTAGGTAATCAGTGAAAGGACAACAGTGTCTGTTACCTGCAATTTTGCCAGTGGTAAGTGCCAGCTAAGAGCTGAAGCACAGGTGTAGGAAATGCTTGTCATTTATCACGGACATGCTCACAAGATGCCACCAAATGTATCAGGCTCTACTATAATAGAAGAAACCATAATTACTGTGTGATAAAAATTGATGTGTTATAATTGTTGGTGAATTAAAGACTCAAAAAGAGATTAACCTTTGATAACAATTTGTTATCTGTCTTTAATTAAATCCAGAGTGATTTAAACAAATAAGAGCATCTTTAGGGCTTATGTTTTAATTGTGAAAATGACTAACTTGTGAATGTTGTTATTTCAAGATACTTTAACTGCATTACTTGCATAAGCTCAAGAAACAGAATTCCATTCCATCTGGTGATTATTTACTTTAATTAATCATGCAGTCAAAAAACATAGAATTAAAAAAATAATTACTAAAAACCTGTTTGAACCTAATAGAGAAATTTAGGTGACTATATATGTCCATATGGAACCTGAAAATTTCAACACACTTAAAAAAATGAATAGAGAAAACAGTCAGGGAGCTAAAAATCCTGTGATTTCCCCAAAAAGCCTATTTTTGCTACTATTTCAACAGATTTATGTATCAAGAATAGATGTATATAAACTGCTTTTGCAGATATTTTTACTTTTTTAAAAAAATAATGAGTTATATGTGCTACTGAGATGGAAGCTGTTTACTTTCACTGCACTCTGAACCTCTGACTCAGGTTAAATGAACAAGGAGACCTATTATGTTAATTTAAGGATCAAAAAAAAGTTTCCAATTGGTTATATTTGGTCTGTCAGTAAAACATTTTTGGACTTAAGGAGGTGTGTGACTCACCTGAGGACGAGGCGTGTTAAATCATTTACAGGTTGGGCACTTTCCAAATCATGAGTGCTATCATTCTGATACCCTTAAAAACCACTAAGCTGACTTGCAGACCATTACCTTCCAGCAGGAAATTACTCAGAAGCCTCACTGGATCAGCAGCAAGCCTACAAGTGTACTTCTCTAGAGTGGGACATGACCACCCTGTCTCCTGTCTTGGACATGAAAGCCATATGATAAATAATAACTATAACAAAACCAGTAACAGTAATAAATATCTAATATTTAACAAATAAAAAGTCTTAATAATTTGGTATTATCTAATATGCTAAAATTCAGAATTATTAATGCTGGCAAAAAGTAGCAAACTGCATCCCAAAAAAGTGATTTTTGCTGTATTGTTACAGATGTTCTAACTATGCAAACAACAGGTTGCAATGCTATACTTTTAAAACTCCAGTGGTATGAAAATGTGCACATGTGCACAGCAGATCACTGGTTATTGCAGTAAAGGCAGTCTCTGCTTCTGCTATACATTTTCCCTGCTGATATGCTCTTTTTTTTTTTTTTTGAGATTGTCATATGTTATAACACTTTTACTACTTGACTCCTCCCACTTTTCTTCAAACCACATCCTGATTTTTGGCCTCAGAAACTAAACATATGCACAACTTACAGAACAACACATGATATTGTTTCTGTATAACATCATACCAGCTGGGATATAAATTCTTACAGACAATTTTATGTGAATGAAAAATACCTACATTGAGACATTTTCCATAGTTGTGCAACACATACTACAGTAGAGCATATGGTTTAGAGTCAGAGATCCTCACGTAGAATTATAAGAAAAGTCTCAAGTCAGGCCACAGATCTTCAGACAGTGTAATTTTGAATAGATCATCCTAATTTATTTCTATTTTGTTTCTTACTACTTCTATTCTGTTTTGGATTCCTGGAATCCAAACTCAGCAAGTTTGTGGGCATATTTAAGACATTTAAATTTTATCTATTTTATTCATTTGGTATCAAGTCAAATAAAATTATCATTTAACTAAGGAATAGGTAATTTATGATGAAATTTTAACTTGTATCATGATTTGAAGATATGCCAATAGGCACGACTCCTCATTTTTGGGAAATATATTTCATACATATTTTCATTAGTAAAAGTTTTTTTTTTTCTGATCTTTCAGTGTCGTTTATGTATGTATGTATGTATGTATGTATGTATGTATGTATGCATTTATTTATTTATTTATTTACTTATTTGGGGCAATGGTGGAAGTGATTGGGTGGTTGTTACATTCCCCTTCAGGATAAAGAATCTGCGTGTGAGGCTTTTCTCCCACGATCTATAAACTTTAATCAAGTCATACTCAGCCCTCCTTTTTAATAATCAAAGACATTGAGTTTATGCTTTCACAGCAAATAATTTTCTTCTGCTCTCAAATTAATTTTAAATGCAATTTTGTGAAGTCTCCATTTTTTTCCCACCATTCTCATTAAAATATGGACAACAGATCCGTGGGAATTATTCCAACAAATGCATCACTATTCAAGGATTACATTCTCTGTTCATGCAGCTTCATGGTGGGAGCTCATGTTGGGTTGCTGATCCACCATGGCCCCTAAATCCTGGTAGAGTCGAGGCACTCCCTGTCACCGTACCCCATTTTTGGGGGGGTGAAATCCATTTGTATTATGTTTAACTATGCATTCATGTCTCCTAAGATGCTCATTTCTTGCAATGGATCTAGCTGATAAAGAAATCTCCTCCTTGCTTTCATAACGATGTAATCACTGAGGAATGTTTCTGTCACACTCAGATCCTTATCATGGTAATTTGTACTTGCACCTCTGGGTCACTGCTAGGAATACTGAATAGCACTGGGCCCAGTAAAGGTGCCTGCTGGATACAATTAGAAACAATTCAATATTAATTTTCTTTTTAATATATCCTTTGATGATCTGCTTGCCAGCTCTAGATTGAAATTGTGTACATTGATGCCATGTAGCAGACCTTTTATTTTCTTAATAAAATTATCTTGTAACATTTACAAACTTTTATTATGCATTTATTGATTAAACATAAAGAAGAAAAGCATCCAATGGACAGGTGAAAAAAATCTGTTTGCCACATAGCAGACAAAACACTCAGGATTAATATTCTTCAATTTTCTCTGCGCATGTAACTTCATTTCAAAACATTTCATATATAAATAATACTGTTCATCTTTCAGAAGTGGAAGGATTCTGGCTTGCCTGACATATCTATCTCAAAATGTGTAAGGGCTTTTTGAATTTATTGGAACCACCTCTGAGAAGCTTACAGGACTGATGACAGACACTGGTGCATGCACTTTCCTCAGTTGTATTTAAGATGTTTTGCCAACAGTTTGTCTCTCAGATTAGGCTTTATAATTTGCCACAAAATCCAAATTCATAAAATTAAATAAATATTCTTAACTATGTTTTAATCCACCTTTTGGCAGACATACCTTGATTTCATTTCTTTTTGTAAAATCAACAACACTGCATCTATTATGTTGGCAGATAGAGGTACATCCAGAATCCTCCCAAAACTTCAGTATTGTCATAGTCTTCCTCCTTCTCATCTCCCA